TACTTATTACAGAAAAGAGGGGAAATGAGACGCATGTCTCCATGTCTCTGGTGGCACCTAATTTGCCAGCATTTATTTATTATATTTATATCGCACCTTTTTTTAAGAACTCGAAGTGGCTTCCATCTTTCTCCCCCTCCTGTTTTGTGATTTATCCCCACAACAGCAACCCTGTAAGGCAGGTTGGGCTGAGTGTCCGTGACTGGCCCAAAGTCACCCAGCTGGCCCTATGGCTGAGCAGGGACTAGAACCCAGATCACCGGAGTCCCAGTCCTGTGCTCTTAACTATTGTATCACATGGGCTCTCAAAATAATGTCAGTATTTGCCATCTGCACTGTTGTCAATCCATTTCCAGTTCGGTTTTAAAGATCCTAACAAAGTGATCCCGTGGCTTGTGGACAGTGTCTAGATAGCCCTAGGATCATTCTGATTCCCACCTCCAAAAAGGGAAAACAGATCCAGGCTCCAAGCTGGAGATCCACGCTTGGAATGCCCTTCCTCCCTCGAAGCCCGAGCAGAAGAACCACTGCAGCTGTGGCTCCGAGGATGCCAGACCAACCTGGAAAAGGAGGCTTGGGGTGGACAGAGGAGTGCTGCTAAGATACATTCTGGTGGCACCTCAGCCTCCCTCTTGATCCCTCCAAAGCATCACAGGCACCCGAAATGGGCCTTCTAACTGGTTTTGCACCTCTGAGGCCCTCCCGCCCAGCATAGCATGCCCATAAGAGACAGTGTGGTGTAGTGGTTAAGAGCATGGGACTGGGACTCAGGCGATCTGGGTTCAAGTCCCTGCTCAGCCATGGAGCCAACTGGGTGACCTTGGACCAGTCACAGACTCTCAGCCCAACCTACCTCACAGGGTGGTTGTTGTGGGGATAAGATGGAGGAGGAGAATGATGTAGGCTGCCTTGAGCCCTTTGTGGGAAAAAGGCAGGAGATAAATCCAAAAATAAATAATCCTTTGCGGACAGCCTCAATGGACTGCACCTTAGATGGCATAGGGTCAGTTTACCTGCTGGAAGATCTCCCTACCTAGAGCCTTTGGTTTCCCCTGCAGAACGGGGCAAGAAAGCATGGCGGCAAGAAAGAGGGCCTTTGCTGTGCAGGCACCCCTCTGAAACTTGCTCCCCTAGAATTTTTTGCCTGGGCCCTTATAGCACTAGGTGAAGTCCTTCCTATTTCCCCAGGCATTTTAGAAAATGGTTTCAGGGCTTCTTTCCATGAGGAGTTTAACCTGCTGCTTTCATTCTATTTTTATTATGGAAGGAAAAGTACATCCTTCACATGGGGCTGCCTCCCATGTCTCTGCTTTTCTACATATCCTGTTAACCAAGCACATGGCGATGCTGTGGTGCAGCTACTTTGCAATGCTTTTCATGAAGCTTTCGTTTTAGTTTGTTCCAATTTGACATTTAGTACCTGATTTTCTTCACTCTAACCCCTTCCCCATTCAAAAAAGAGAAAGAGAAGTCTGGAAAACATGAAACAAAGAAGGACTGGAAAGTGGGCAGGATCTGAGTGAGGGACTTCCTAACACGCTCTCTTATCTAGCGTCTGAAACTAGCACGTTGAATGGCCTGGCCAGACAGCAGAGGAGGGGTTAAGAAACACAGGCGCCTTGTCCTTCTTGGAGTGACACCAAGGTTTCTAAGGGGCTGGGGTGCTTGCTGCTCCAATACTACTCAACAGACGCTTCCTGCCCTTTAATGGCTTTCTCTCAATACCTTTTTTCGGTGTGACCTATTTTTCCTCTTGCAAAGCTTGGAATGCAGCAGATAAATGCTGATCCTGGACCACCAGTGGAAAAGCACACACATTTTCCCCTTTTGCTGTTCAAAATAGAGCTCATGTGATTGTAATTAAAGACTGACACTGAAAAGTGCCATATTTCTGGAGCTCATTAGTTACTTTCTAGCTTGCTTTCACAGGGCTTCCTCCCATCTTTTTGTGAAAATGTTTGCAGCATTATATAGACTAATAATAGGGAGAGAAAGCTGCAAAGAGGGAAGTCACATCAGGTTATGCTCACCACGTGCTTCCGGACCATCAGTGGGGAAGAGGAACATCTTTCTTGTACTGATCAGGGTTGAGATTTGGCTTACTGACAATCATCTCAGTTCTTTTGGGGATTGCTGAGGAAAGCCAATGGCAAATGCTACTGCTCAGCAGAGCTCCTTGAGACTTTGCAATCAGGTAATGCTCAAACAGCGCCAGTCTAGGGATTCCAAGTCCTCAAAGAAGGTTGTGCTTTGGCAACAAACCTGCCCTACTATTAGGCATGTGGGGCAGCCTGATGGAGGTAGCAGATTTTGCTGTATCAGTTAAGGAGAGATGGGCAGACATAAGTCTTGCATGATCTTAAGACTGGGATGGTACATTGGACCTCTTGACCATTAATGAGATTATCCATATTAAGGGATCCTGACTATGCAAACATTCAGCAAAAGGATGAAAAGTCTCTATCTTGGATGGACACAGGCCTCTATCCTAAGAATATACATCTAAATACAGGCAGTCCCTGAGTTACAAACATCCAAATTATGAACAACTCATACTTTCAAACGTACTGCCATACAGTCTATTAATTTTTTTAAATTACTGTGGAAAATTGTCATCACTATAGAGAGACACAAACCAAAAGGGAACAGGAGGAGGTCTCCAAAGAATGCCTTCCTCTCCTGCTCAGAATGTGAATGTGGGGGGGCCAACTATACATGGTCTAACTTACATACAGATTTCACTAAAAGTATTTTCTTTTCTCAGGAATAGAACTTTGTAACCCAAGGACTATCTGTACGCATATCAAACATAAAAGACAACATTTTTGAGAGAGGTCCCCATGCTAGCAAATGTGGAAAGAGAAGGACCAAATAGGAAAAGTTGATTTGAGAAATTACAAAATAGATGCATCAATACTTTAGTGAGTGTTCAGTTTTACTTGGGTCCTACTCTGGAAATTGTTATGATTGATCAGTGGGTTTAAAATGGTGCTAGTAAATAAATATGAAAAACCTTCAATGTGAATACGGTTTTCTATCATATATTTTTTTGTTTTATTTCTGTCCCACCCTGTAGCTCTCTGGGAATCGAACAAGAGTTAAAAACGCAATAAAAAGCAACACAGAATAAAAGATACTTTAAAATTTTAAATTACACTTGGACAACTAGAAAGGGAAACCAGACCAGACCACTAGGCCTGCTAAATAACAGTGGGCAATACCGCTCCTGCCCCCACCTCTCTGTGCAGCTTGGAGTTGGTGATTTAGCATAAAATCTAATAATCTTCTAAAGAGGTGGGGGTGGGGAGATGCTCTTGTAGTAATGACAATTCCAAGGGTTATGGAACTTGAAATGCATTTCATGCGGCTGGAGACCCCAATCCTTCATGTCTTTACATCAGAGGTAATATGGGAGCTCCTCTCAAGTAAGTGTGCATATGATTGTTGCCTCTGAGAGGGGGCTAAACAGTGTGGTAAATCTTGGGCAGCACAACCCTAGAGGACTAAGTTCAAGCTGAACTCGGACCCAGGAAAGCTGGCGTAGGATTGCAGCCTTGCAGACTGCTTGCATATAGAGGCTTGTCTAAAACCACGACAAGCTCTTACCCCCGGAGGGCTGGGGTAGACAACACTTTCTGGTTGTGGGCACATCTGACATTTTGAACACGTGTCCACAACATGTCTTTGCTTTGTTTCTTAAGAACAAAGAACAGCCATGCTGGATCAGGTGAATGGTCTACCCAGTCCAGTATTTTGTTCATGCAGCGGCAAACTAGGTGCCCAGAGCATCTCCAAATGGGAAATCCATTTTCTTTTGGAAGGGGATTCCATGACTTAACTATGCACTATGGGAATAAGTTCTTCCTTAACCAGATCTGTCCTGATTCTCGCAGCAGTCAGTATCCTGGGATTACCCCATGAGTTCTAGTATAGGGTAAATGTCTCCCTCTATACTTTCTCCAAACCATGCATCGTTTTGAACACCTTCTTTTCTCCATGGGAGTTCCTTCCTTCCTTCCTTTTTTCCCAACGCTACTGCCAAATTCCCGCCCGTCATTAGGTGCATCTGATTTTACAAGATCGGGATGTTACTTGGAAGTAAACTCCACGAATTTCTGATAAGCCACGCATAGGATTAGGTGGCACGAGGTAAGGTTAATGCGGCAAGGAAGGCATCATGAAATGGGCATTTGCTGACATTAAACATGTGGGCATCCCAAGCTTTAACACAGCGCTCCTCAACAGGTCTACAGCTAATGATTCACAGTGTAATCCTGCGTCTCATCTATTTCTAATCAGAAGTGGTCCCATGCAGTTCATTGGACATTAGTCCCAGGTAAGTGAATGCACGACTGCAGCCTAGATGGATCACCGTGTACGAATCCGCTTTCTGCACGCCGCAGCCATCTTCAGTGCAGCCCCGCAATTCATTTTCCTCTCGCGAGCTTAAGTCCTGCTCTAAAGCAAGAATCCGGTAATACCGTAAAGCCTCGCCTATTTACTGCGCCGGCCTAAATCTGCGGGGACCCAAGTCCCTTGCTCAAAAGTGCGCAACCCGCTGCGATGCAGCTCACTGAGAAGTCAAACTCAGCTGAATGCAGTGGGACTTCCAGGGGACTGTGCAGGAGGGGGCAGGCTTACCTGCGAGCAAGCCCCACGGAACAACCCTACTTCTGAGTAGACCTGCCTAAAATCACGCCCGCGAGCGCGCCACGCCGAGGAAACTCTTCCCTCCAGGGGCCTCGATCAGATAAGCCGCCGAGCGATTGGACACTAGGAAGGCACGTGACAAGAAAGGGGTGGGGCAGCTTCAGGGTCTGGGCGGAGCTAAGGGGTGGGTGTTTCTGCGCTATTGGTTGCCTCTTTGGCAGGCGGGGCTAACTCGTCGATGCGGCCACGCTATTGGCTGCTTGGGGGAGGGGGGCGGTGTTCCGCAGCGCGTGAAGCAGGGCGGACGGTTGCTAGGGACGCCGGGGCCCTGAAGCGGCCCGAGGAAGCCAATGGCGGGCCTGGAGGGCGACGACGCCGGAGCGGTCTTGGATCACGTCGTCACCCAGTTTAACACCTATGAGGATTACCTGGATTCGCAGATCACTACGCAGGACCTGTTTTACTTGGAGGTGAGCGGTCTTTAATTCACGCTCCTTCGAGCATTGAGGTCCTCTGAGCACGTGCAGAGTACAATATTTCCCTTCCCCCCTCTAGCTCGCTATTGTCCATAACCGCAGCCCTCAACAGCAGTCTCTGTTTATCAGAGGTTATCTACGTACTACTGTCACCGAAGCCCCGTCTCCCACCCGATGAAGCTTTCCAGGTAAATCTTTAAAATGTGAGAATGCGACAAACACGTGTAGCATACAGGTGCACTTGTCAGGGACCTGTGATGAGTTGGCTGCTGCAGTTGCCAGTTCTCACTGTCTTGGAAATACATAGTGTATCTAATGGATTTCCCCCTTGCAAGCAAGCATGCTCACAGGTGAGACATGTGGCAACCCCACTTGTAAGTGGCAAAGTGCAAAGCGGACCTGTGGTGGGTTCTTGCCTAGCCTTGCCCTTGAATGGGGGGGTTATGATGTGAGACCCATTCCTTGCTGGCATGAGTGGCATGCCAGCCGTAGGCACATGTCCACTGTCTCCAATCTAGTGTCTTCCTGTTGTGTTGCAACTAGAATTCCCATCTTATGACAGCCATATCCAACATGCCTGGAGTGCACCATGTTGGGAAAGGGTGACATACGTGGGAAAGCATAGAATCATAGTATCATAGAATAGCAGAAGGCCTACACGGAAAAAGAAGAGGGCCGTAGTTTAGTAACATGGGAAGTTCAAGCCCCTGGCATCCCCAGGTAGGGTTTGGAAAAGCACCAGTCTGAATCTGCCGAGAGCTGCCAGTCAGTGTCCGCTGCACCAGATGAACCAGGAGTCTGACTCAGTATAAATTTATTTATAGTATTTGTATACTGCCCCATAGCCTAAGGAGACTCTGGGAGCTCACATAACAAACATAGCACAACAACAACGTAAAAAATAAATAAAATGATAACAGTTAAAACCACATAAAATTATGCTAATATAAAGTGCGAACAGGATGGTGAACACTAATATAAGCAACAACAAAACCAGCAACGAAAAACCAAGTAAAAGCATAGTTCTAAAAACAAATGCTAAATAAAAAGGTATTTACTTCCTTTATATAAAGGCAGCTTCCTGTGTTCTTAAGAAAGCCCCATAATGCATGTCTGGGCTGAAGTTGGATCCTGGGTCCTGGACTAAAGTTGGGTCCTGAAAAAGCAGACAGATTGGCCCCGGTCGTGAACTGGTGGAAGAGGGAAAACACAATATAGAAGCTGGGTATTTGGGGGCAGGGAGGCAAATGGGGATAGATTTGCGGGCTTTTCTACTGAGAAGCTCCTGCACCACTAAGAACTGCAGAGATGTGCTTCTTAAGACCACTAAAATGGCAGAAGCCTCTTCTGCTGAAATTGCTGCTGTTGGCAGGTGGTTTGAGGTACAAAATGATGATGGTGGGGATGCTGCCTTCTCTGTGTCTTGACACTGGGGCAGGCTGAGCCTCATAAAGTGATCTGAAGCAAGCACAGATCCGTGGCAGAGGGTGGAAGGGAAGGCTGCCCTTAGGATGTGGTTACTCCCAGCAGGTGCTTCCCCATGGATTAGGAGCAAACCACGCAGCAGGTGCCGGGACTCTCTGTGCCACCCTCCCACATTGGCGATTATAGTCCTTTTGGTTCTGAGCTGAAAAGCATCCGGCACCTTCCTTCCCTCCTCCAAAGGGTGATTTATTTATTTAAAAGGTTTCAGGCGCAATCCTATGCATTGTCTAGACAGGAAGAAAGCTGGAGAATGCTGATACTCTTTTCTGTCTAAACACGCACGGGATTTTTGCCCTTGCCTTTGAGGGAAAACTGGAGGTGGTATACAAAAAGTAAAGCTGCCAAACACAGGAAACCAGGGTATGGATGATCACAGAATCAAAATGAAAAGCGAAAACAGATAACGTCATAGACAAGGGCACATAATAAGGTCCTGCCTTAATTATGGACCAAGGTTAATAAACAAGCCTTCAGGACCAAGTTAGAAGGTCTTTTATTAAAAAAAAAAAAAGATTTAAATGTTTTACAAGGTACCTTTTGGAGACCATAAGAATATTTGAGTTCCAGCTCCTAGATCCTATGATTTTGGAGCTGGTACATACTGACTGCCCCTGAGAGAGCAAAAAAGGGCATGCTTGGGTGGGGAGGGGAGGTGCCCCAGCCCCCTCCCCTCCCCTCCCCTCCCCTCCCCTTATTGGCACTTTATCTGCAAAATAGTTGTCTGCATAAAAAACTGGCTGCAGTTGCAGAGGCTCACATGCTTAGTGGGCATAGCATTGCACCCCAGAACAGTGATTGCTCCTATCTGAAATATAATGAATGGATGAAGATCATGGCCATTTTCATGACGTGGTTCAGTATACAATTATTTTCCCCTTACTTTTAGCCGGATTTTTAAAAGTTGCTTTTCCTAGTATGGATCTACACAAGGCCTGAGGAAAACATTATATGAGACTTGGTCAGCCTAATATTTTCTTTAAAAATCTACATTTTTTAACCACCCAGAGAGCCCTTTGGGCTATTGGGGTGGTATATAAATGCAATGCAATCAATCAATTCTGATTGTCAATATTTAAGCAAATGATTCCAAATAAGCATCAAAATCAACAAACTGCCTATGCAACAAAATGTTCATGCTTAGCTTAAGTGTAATAATTTTAAAATGATAAGATACATAAAGCCAAGCTAAGCTGTCCTCCAAGAAAAACAAGGGGTTGAAATCTTGAAAATTCTCCAGCTTCGGTGGACAACTTGCTGTTCCTGCTGTTACTTTTCTGCAAATGTAACCAAAACAGTATACAAATATATAAAGTTACAAATAAGATACAGTACAAACACACAGCCAGCAGTAATAAAAAATAAGAATAGCACAAACTATCCGCCAAATGCCTGTTGAAATTGATTTTTGAAAGTCCATTTAAAGCAGGAAAATATTTCAAAAATCAATAAAACTAAAATAAAAACTTTTTGGTCCACCGCCATTAATTATCCTGCTGAAATTGGTGTATCCAGGAAGTGTTCACCTCCCAACATTTTAAATTGCATCACATCACTGAAAATGTACAATGCTATAAGATTCATTCATTTAAATGGTATTTTGCTATTTTAATTTTTAATGTACCTAGGTAAGTATTTGAAAAATATTTAAATGCTCAAGAATAAATAGATGGATAGATAGATGATTAAAGTGGCACCTGCCACTAAGCTTATCCTGAATGTGTGCGGTACTGTGACAGGTTAACCTTTCCAGCTGGTCTTCATTCTTCTGTCATTCTTTGAAAAGTCAGACTTTTTCTAGTGAGAGAGAGGATGCAAGCAGCCCTGGGAAAATAGGGGAAGATTACAATGGATGGTGATGTCATGTGGATCTCCCATAATACTTGAGTGAATGAGCCATGCCAACTCCACAGCAAATTCTCACCTGAGTAAACTATCAGACACATCACAAAGCCCTCCCTTGCCATACTGAATGGCCTAACAATTCTTGATTGCTTTTCAATGTCTTTGCCAGAAACCAGGTGCTCACCCTCTTTAGCACACATCTGCCAAAATTAAGAGAGTCATCCACCCCAGAGCAAGTGTGTCCAGAAGAGGGGTTATTAGTCCTCTGCCTTCCTCTACATGGTTAAGGTGAAATTGCCTATTCTGGTTAAACCCATAAAATGCTAACACCGAGAAGCATTATTTGCAGAGGCAAAATCTAATTTTTGTTCCAGTATTGTTTAATCATCCAGGTTTCCATTGTCTCCTCTTTCTTTTTCTGACCGCACATCTTAGTCTAGGCACTGCCTTTCATAAATCTCTTTCTGTTTCCTCATTCGCTTTTCTGTGACTTTTTTCTTTAATATGCAATGCTGAGGCTCCTGTCGTTTGACAATGAGCATCCAAGGGCAAATATGCAGTGCAAGAATTTCCAAGAGATATTTAAGGAGATGGCTGAGAATGTAGAGGAAAGTCGGGGCAGGCTGGATACTAGAGCAAAGAGGAGATGAGTCATAAGAGTGACAGGATATGTGACAACCGAAATCAGGTGTGAGGATGTACAAGGGATAGGGTTAGAATTAGATATATTAAATATAATTAGCTGCTCCAGTGGAGCAGTGAATTAAGAGCTCACTGCAAAAACAATCTTTCTGCATAGTTCTTTATAAAGAGGAATTTGAGCTCGGCTCTTGAGATTAAGCACCAGAGAACAAAGTTGGAAAGCAAATGCTCATCTTGTGGATCGAATATACTTCCACATCCTTTTTTGCCATAACAGCACTTGAAAGAGTAGGCCTTCAAAATGTTGCTTCACTGTTGTTATGTGCCATCAAGTCATCTCTGACTTACGGTGACCCTATGAATGAAAGCCCTCCTGTCCATTGTCCTGTCCACAACAGCCCTGCTCAGCTCAAGGCTGTTGCTTTCTTTATGAGTCAGGTCATCTCATCATTTTGGTCTTTTTCTTCTGCCTTCAACTTTCTGTAGCATTATTCTCATGACGTGCCCAAAATATTCAGTTTTGCTCTCAGCGAAACTTGCTTGATTTGATCTGGAACCCACTTGTTCATCTTTCTGTTGGCTCAGGATATTTGCAATTTTTTCTTTAGCACCGTGTTTCTAATGCATCAATTTTCTTCCTGTCAGCTTTCTTCACTTTCCAGCTTTCTCACCTATGCATGGTGATCAGGACTACAGTAGTGCAGATGATCTTAGTCTTGGTCTCCAATGAAACATACATTTGAGGTTCATTTCTAGTTTCTTCCAAGTCTCAGTTGTCTTCTAATTTCTTGGCTGTAGCCCTTCTTCAAATTGATGATTGAGCAAAGGTATGCAAAATCTTTCACAATTTCATTGCTGACAGTAAAGTGGTGGAATTCTTCTGCAATCATGATTTTTGTTTTAATTTTTAGCTGCAGTTCTGTTTTTTTACTTTCTTCTTTTACTTTTGCCAGGAAGTGCTTCAATTCATTACTGCTTTCTGCCGTTAACATAGTATTATCCTCATAACAAATAGCAGTTTCATC